CGGAACTCCTCGTGATGTCCGGGATCTCATCCGGGACTCCGAACAACATTCGGTAACCACGTATATCTATTCCCTATAACCCTAGCGTCATCGAACCTTAAGTGTGTAGACCCTACGGGTTCGGGAACCATGCAGACATGACCGAGACGTTCTCCGGTCAATAACCAACAGCGGGATCTGGATACCCATGTTGGTTCCCACATGTTCCACGATGATCTCATCAGATGAACCACGATGTCGAGGATTCGATCAATCCCGTATGCAATTCCCTTTGTCTAGCGGTATTGTACTTGCCCGAGATTCGATCGTCGGTATCCGATACCTTGTTGAATCTCGTTACCGGCAAATCTCTTTACTCGTTCCGTAACACATCATCCCGTGATCAACTCCTTGGTCACATTGCGCATATGATGATGTTCTACCGAGTGGGCCCAGAGATACCTCTCCATCACACGGAGTGACAAATCCCAGTCTTGATTCGTGCCAACCCAACAGACACTTTCGGAGATACCCGTAGTGTACTTTTATAGCCACCCAGTTACGTTGTGACGTTTGGCATACCCAAAGCATTCCTACGGTATCCGGGAGTTGCACAATCTCATGGTCTAAGGAAATGATACTTGACATTAGAAAAGCTTTAGCAAACGAACTACACGATCTTGTGCTAGGCTTAGGATTGGGTCTTGTCCATCACATCATTCTCCTAATGATGTGATCCCGTTATCAACGACATCCAATGTCCATGGTCAGGAAACCGTAACCATCTATTGATCAACGAGCTAGTCAACTAGAGGCTTACTAGGGACATGGTGTTGTCTATGTATCCACACATGTATCTGAGTTTCCTAACAATACAATTCTAGCATGGATAATAAACGATTATCATGAACAAGGAAATATGATAATAACTAATTTATTATTGCCTCTAGGGCATATTTCCAACACTTTCTTCAGAAAACAGCGCCCAAAGGTGTTCTGTCGATCTAGTGGTTCACGATCTCGATGGACTGTTGCGTCCCAAGCGTCCGGGTCAGGGAGATGTATCGGGTTACCCAGGTGTTGTTCCTTGGCGTATGAGTAAGGGATTCCATCTACGATGGACTCCTTGCTCGTGTGGAATTGTAGTCCGGGCGGCCACGGGAGCTGGGGAACGACTACGCGGACGAAGCCGCAAGCGCGCCATAGGACGGGCGGCGCCCGCGCGTGGCAAAGGTACCGGCAGAGGCCTCGGCCTCGCCGGGGCGGGGAGGCGGCACAGCCGCCGCCAGGTAATCGTCTGGGTCACCAAACCCTAGCGCTGGCACACACATGTCGCCTGAGAACGACTGCACGGACGAAGCCGCAAGCATGCCATAGGACGGGGGGCACCCGCGCATGGCAAAGATCATCATACCTAACTGCACAATCATTTGATTTTTGGCCAACGGAGTGACGAAGATGAGATAGGACTTTAACTCTTATTGACCTCCAATTTAGATACATCCATTTCACGACAATTAATATGTGATAGACGGAGCACTAGTTTAATTGGCATCCAACTCTTCATGATTATCATGTGGATGACTGAAATTTAACAACCCATGACTTAGTCTTAATGCGAGACAAAGGGTGAAAAACGTAAGGTTTGATTACGCGGATGATAACCATGAAAAGGAACATGGACGGAAGGCTGAATCAACTATTCCACCGGATTAGCATAGCCTCATAAATTAAAATTACTCAGAGAGGCGAAAGCCCTGACTGATCTCGGTTAGTGCTGGCAACGGTGTCATTTCCCTCCTAGTAAGCGTTGTTGAGGAGCCTCCTTGTATTCCCATGGGGATGGCTCTCCAGGAGAAATCACTAACTCCGGGTCTTGGAATGGGCGACGGTGACGGCTATGTCGAACGTCCTTGGAGTCGTCGCCTTGGAGAGCCAGGACGCGGATGTTTGCGTGGTTCCCTCTTGTCTTTGGATTGGTGGCCCCGGATTGTCGATGTTTGTGTGTCGAGGCCAGCTTCTCCACATGGCTTGGGTGCAATTCGCGTTGCCCCTGGAGACGGAGGACAAAGGATTTTCATCTCGCGAAGAATCAGCAATTGTGTTGCTGGAAGAAGTGTTATATGAGGACTTCGAGATCAAATAGAGAATCTGTATCTCCATTCCTCGTGAGCCATTTATTTCTCCGAAATTACAGATCAGAGTGATAAAACACGAACCGCACGGAACCCACCTTTTTTTTACCGCCACTATGTGTCCGCAGGGGAAACACAACCCGGCCGCCTCTCGGGAAAGGGGGGTGGGCCTACCTATCCCGAGGGAGCAGCTGAGAGGTTCCAACGTTTGATCATCTGCATTAGAGAGTTCTGCAGGTCCTTGAGAGAATGTTATCCAGTCAGTTATGACTTGACCATGGTCTGAGGTGAAATGGGTCCCGGTCACTCGTACGTGAGAGCAAGGGATCAGCCAACGATCGGATGAGCTCCAAGGAGGGAGGAGAGAGGGAGGCAAGAACCATGCTTTCAGAGAAGTGGCGGTCCGAATCCATTCTGACAAGATAAAGTAGCAGACTAAGTTGCGCTGTAAGGGGGGTCTCGGTCGATGCGTCTCATAGGGGGTTGTCTGACTTAACATCGAGGTGGCAGGCCCGGATGATTCGGTGTAGTGGTTGTGGTTTGCGAGTGGTCGTCTTGTACAGCTTGGGCTGTGAACTGTTGGTTCGTGCGGCACTGCAGCTCGAGGTCAAGCAGTGGTACGTCTGGCCGGCCGGCGGCCTCAGATGGTGGTGTTGGTGGGCTGTGCAAGGCGCGGTGAAGCAATAGGAAGTCAGGGCAGTGACCCTGGAATTTCAGCAACTTTGATGGCATTTGCTTCGTGTCGTGTGGGCGACGAGATGACCTTTGATGTTGGTTGTGGGCGCTTTGGGAGTAGCAGATGGTGCATGATCTTGTGGATTGCTTGTTCTTCATTGACCACGGAGAGTCCCGTGTCTGCTCCTCCCATAGCAGTTGTGGATTCTTCTCTTTTTTAGTTATGTGAGGCTGGCTAATTTGATGAAACAGTTTTTCGTTGGCTCATGTATGTGAGGCTGGCGTATTTTTGTTGAGCTTGATGTGCCATTGGCATGAGTGGGCTCAGGTTTTCACTTGGTTAATTTTCCGCAGTTGACTGAGCAACAATCTTCTTAATTAATGAAAAAGGAAAAGCTTTTGCCTTGGTTTGAAAATAATAATATTCGAAGATATTTTCATTTGGCTATATTCGTGTTGTATGTTGTCATCTGCGCCTACAAACTCTTCACCTTAGTGCCACCAATGTTACATTTTTTTTGTATGATTTACATATGTTATGATCGAGCTCATCATGTGTTTCTCTTGACTACGCAAAAAGGCCTATCACCTGTTACAAACAATCTTTAGGGATAAATGTCACATGATCTTAAGCCTAGTATTCAAACACCTAATGTACATATGACATAACAGGATTTGGGATTTCTTACGGGTTTTGAGGGAAGCCTTCAGACTGATCAATGCACCCCTCATGTGGCCTATGGCTAAAACTTGCGTTCTCCAACAACATGGAGATGGGCGGGGGGAAAGTACATGAACTCGTAGCAAGCAGCGGGAGTGCCGCCATGACTGGCCTTGCGACTGCTAGCGGTGGAAAGGACCTTCGAGTCCCTCAGACCCTTCTTTAGGATCAGTTATTAGAGAGTCCTCTCCTTACCGCGTCAAAACCACGTTAGCTCACAAATGATAGGATCTCCCTTTTTTAATACTACGGGCTGCGAAACCGGAAGAAGATGATCGTGTCATGTTAGTTTTGAGGATTTTGGCATGCATGTGCATGAATGGCTGTAATCTCCAGTAGTTTATGTAATGGAATTTGGTGGAGATACATGAGCCACAGATTCAATCTCGTTTCATGATAGTGTCGATTATTTTTGTGAACTACTGTAATCTATAGTGGTTCTATAAGGAAAATTAGTGTGGAGAAATGACCGCTTCATTACTTTGAACAAAAAATGACCTCGATTATATGTACTGCCCGTCATACGTGTACTGGACAAAATCCTGTGTAATTAATTTTATGCGTATGCATTAGACAGATTCTTTGTAAATGAATAAGTTTAATATTAAGGAGAAGAGGCAGAAACAAGTCTCACATAATCAAACGTATTTGTTATTAGATGTTCTTGGTGAAGAAAACAAAGTTCATAGGAAGGGAAAACGTAAAATCTAATCTTAGCATATTGACATACATTTAGATGTGTAACATATCAACATCTACGGCACCAAATGTGCTTCATTAGATTCATTATGAAAATCGTATATATTTATGTATATAGTTGATATTGTAGATATTTGCAGATTTTCCTATAGGCCAGGTCAAACGTAATGTTTTTAGTTGTAGGACTTCAATTATTTTGAATTGAAGGGAGCATTAAGAAACCAAATGGTTGATAGTCTAACAATTCAGGTAACTAAATCAGTTGTTGATTAAGGTGCTGCCCATGTATGTGCGGGGGTGGCTTTGCTAGTTTCAAAAAGAAGGGAGATTCATGCATGTGGGAGCTCGTCATCAACATGAGCACGTGATGCTAAAGCACCCTATCTCGAGGAACCTAATGGTCAATCGACATTGCATAGAGACGGGAGGAGCCACTTTGCTTTAATGAGCACACTAATTAGTTCTTACCGTGATGTTAGAGCAAAGGACGAATCTTCTACAGAAATACCTATTTGTTGGTTCCGAAAGGGAAAGCTCCAGCTAACCCTCTTCAGGAGGACAAGACATTCTTACCGTGCCCCTTTTTTAATTCTATGACTTGTTCTTTCCATCAAGCCCACCTGCATGCCCCCTTTTCAGTACACCCAGCTAGCTAATGCATGTATAGTGTGCGTGTGCGTGTGTATATATACAGACCCACCAACTTTCCCCCTTCCATAGCCCAGCTAACTAGGAGTAGCACATCGATCAGCAAACGAACGTCCGGCAGGCACTCAACACAAAACACAAATATGCGTTCAGCTCGCGACCTCCGCCTCGCGGTCTCGGCCCTCCTCCTCCTCCTTCTGCTTTCAGCCGGCGTCCTGGCGGCAAGAGCCCAGCATGAAATCGGTGAGCTCTGCTCCGCTCTCTCAAACAAAAATCTTATATCTTAAATCCAGCGCATGTACGTGCATTTCTTGATTAATTCTTTCATCATTAATTAATTTTACCAAGTATATCTCTTGCATGCAGACGATGAGTCAGAGTTCAGCTACATCCGCGGGTCGGAGAACGGGCCGGAGAACTGGGGCAAGATCAAGGAGGAGTGGGCGACGTGTGGCACCGGGCGGATGCAGTCGCCCATCGACCTCTCCGACCGCCATGCCGCACAGGCACCCAACCTCAGGTACCTCAATCACTCCTACCTGCCTGTAGATGCCTCCATCATCAACCGCGGCCACGACATCATGGTCAAGTTCAACGGCGACGCCGGGAGCCTGTGGATCAACGGCACCGCGTACCACCTCAAGCAAGTCCATTGGCACTCCCCTAGCGAGCACCGCGTAAACGGCCGCCGGTACAGCCTCGAGCTTCACATGGTTCACCTCAGTGCCGACAACAAGACTGCTGTGATCGGCATCCTCTACAAGATCGGCAGGCGCGATCATTTCCTTCACGAGGTATGTTACGTGTCTCTAATCCATCTCCTGCCAACCAAACTTTCTTTAATTTGCACGGAGTTAAAGTTGTCAACTAATCCATAGTGCAGCTGGAGCCTTACCTGAAGAGGATAGCAGATACCAAGGAGAAGGAGGAGATGGTAGGCATGGTGGATCCCTGGGAGGCGAGGGGAGATGGCGAAGCGTACTACCGGTACATGGGCTCCCTCACCACGCCGGCGTGCGATGAGGGGGTCATCTGGACCGTCATCAAGAAGGTACCTACGTTGTTAATAACTTTTACTGAGCACATTTAGACCCAGATTCTAAAATTACGGGAAATTTGCTTACGGACATACGAACAATACTGCTCAAAAGTACATGCATTTTGCAGGTTGCCACCGTGTCGACTCACCAACTGAAGCTTCTCACCGACGCTGTCCATGATGTAATTAAGTTGTTCCATTTATTAATTTCTCTAATCTTTTTTTCAAGAAAGCAAAGTGCATAAATTTGTATGTTTGTACTGTGTGTAGGGCTTTGAGATGAACGCGAGACCCCTTCAGAAGGTGAACGGAAGAGATATCAACTTTTTCTGCCCTGATGATCACCATGAGCGCTATTACGCTGCCGCTGATCAGTAATTAGGTTCAAACTTCAGGCAGCCTGAGGGATAGACATCATGCGTGTTAATGTAAGATAATCTCGCTCATTACGTACCTTAATTTGACTTGCTTATTATTGCCGATAAATAGTTGTTTCTAATGGAAAATATATATTTTCCAATGCCCTCAGTTTTCGGAAACCACGACGAAGAACCATTGATTCGATGGAGCATTGCAATGATGGTGACTCTGTACCAAGCGGAGATGTTCATAGTCTCGGCACGTTTGTTAATTCCATTGTAAAGAAGTCACAGACATGTGTCCAATAAATAATTTCAAGCGGAGATGTTCATAGTCGTTGTTGTTAGTATCTTCAATAAATAATTTGATGACATGTGTCCAATCTACGCCATCTTATTTGCGTTTTCTTTCTTTCTGTTTCAACAAAAAGCGTCTCTATCACGGATGTGCCATATTGTTGCCAAGATGTGCTAGCTCATGGATTTATTTCTTCAATCATTGCACATCAGATCAAATCCATCTTATTATGTTGTATCGTTGCCATCTTTAATTACAGTCCCTTTTTCATATTTTATTTAAATCTATGTATTCTTCTTCTTCAAGAAAGTGTGCTACAGAATCTGAAAAAACAAGTGTGCTAGAGATCTATATTTGTTCGTCTTCCTTCTTTACCGCACTATATACGGATGCTAGCACGCCCAGTTGAGTGAGATAGTGCTATGCTTGTGTTGTTGGCTTAGTATCATTCACATTTTCCTCAAATTAAGTCTTGACACTTGTCATGAATTGGATCAAGCAGTTTGCACGTCTGGAGATGTGCATGGGCCGACCAATAATGCCTAGCTACTGCACTGCAGACCGTCCATGACAGGAGCATCTCCCATAGGCTGTACGAGATAGCAATAAGGTTTTGGTTCCCGAATGAGGCAATTTTACCGAGGGGACTGGTAAATGTGGTTACCACAGTTACCAGGAAATACCGAGAAATACCGAGAATATTTCGAGCAATTTTACCGAGGGGGACTGGTAAATAAGTGAATGAACAAATATTCAAACCAGAGACCTCTCAAAATAGGAACTAGGTTGCTATCAACACGCCAGAACCAACTCTCATGGCATTAATTAGATCCTACGTACTTTACAGTAAATCGTGTGTTTAAATTCAAAATTTTCAAAAAAAATGGTATTTTTTTCTCGGCATGGCGATTTACCGAGGGGCACGGAAATACGTGGTAACCATGGGAAATCTTGAAATTTCGACCGGTAACCAAAACAGTGGATAGCATGCAGGTGCATCTCGCGTACGACGTCGAGCACTCGAGCTCACTTTTCCGGGGTCCTTTTCAATTGTACCTATCCCATAGGCTGCGAGACATCACATGGAATTATACGAGAGAGACAGAGACAGAGCGCAAGAAGTCTAGATTTACTTGATACATTGGTGCCTACCTTCGTCGATTCTGCCGATGTCCCATTCATAAGATTATTTTAGGTTTGTACTCCGATGTTAATTAACCTGCCGATTAGTGGAGTAGGTACGAAAATGTGGAGCAGGTAACAAAATCTGGGTAGATTATTCAAAATGTTATCTGCCGTGCGGAGGGTGTGCGGCTGTTTTCCTACCTATTTATGCTCAGGTCCCTTTCATCAGAATAAGTTCATGTCATCTTCAACTTCTTCTCCACGGCTTTATTCAAAAGGTAGCTAGTAAACGCAAACTCATGCAAGTGCTTTTTGTTGCTAGTAAGTAGTACTAACGTGCTCGTTTGGACTTATACTAGTCAGATGCCCATACATCGAAGTTCTCGCTCCATCTGTTCTAGTCTGACAAAATATAGTGGAACACATCAAATTATCAGGTGGAGCATCTTTTCCCGGTCTTAGTGTTCACACTGCAGAGTAGAACATATGCAAACTAATTAGTACATGAATAAACAAAAGGTGCAGAGACGACGGTGCACAAGTTTAAATTTATGTTGAACATTGAATGTCTCGGAAGGACCCTTCCCCGGACCCTGCGCAAGCGGGAGCTACATGCACCGGGCTGCTCTTTTTTTATTGAATGTCTCAGAAATACTACAATACTAGTATTCTAGGTAAATATGCATGTTGTAATTACCTTCATGCTCAAGTATTTGTACAAGCAAGAAGTTCCTAGAAATATTAGGCAACACCGATGTCCGGAGAATTTCTGTGCTGTGGAATATCACAAATCCTGTTGGGTGCATCATGTTTCATGTTTCCCTGAGCACCGGCTTCAGGCAAGCTGTAACTCAAGATGGGGGGCCTTTCAACGACCCCAACCCGGCCTGCGAGTGTGGCATACAACCAAGGAATGGACCGAATGAGTGCATTGTCACAAATATATCTATACCTATCTCTTCGCTATACTACTTAGAAAAACTAAAGGATCCCATTTCATCCTCTCCTTTGTACAACCTTCCTATGTCCCGGCCTTTTCCCATCTCCTGTTTATCTTTTTCTCTTCCATCTCTGGTTTTTCTCTAAAATAATAATAATCTTTATTAAATCATAACTGCTTAACAAGAAGATGGCATTTCCCCCCATCTCTGGTCTTTCTCTGAAATAATATCTTTTTTCGTAATTCAACAAATTCTTACCAAATAATTCTTAACAATAAGATGGCAGGTAAATCATGGCACATACAAAGTCTTGCTAAGATTTTATAAAACCAATGTAATAATAGACGTGCAATCACATGCTAATTCTTTATCTTTTCTACTTAAAAACAATGTAAGGTTCCCATTCCACCACTCTTTCGTACAACTTCTTATATACGTTCCACTCTTTTTTCCTCTTCGATCCTCCAAACTCTCATTTTTCCCCCATTCATTCTACCCAAAATATAATGAATTGTCGCATGTTTTATAACCATACCCAAAATGAAAACATAATTTGTTTGGCAAATCATTAAATTCTTACCAAATAAGTGTTTAACAATAAAATGACAGGTAAACCATGGTGATTGCACGTATCAATATAATAATAGACGCGCAGTCATGGGCTATTTATGTAGAATGTTTATACTCTCATTGCAACATAGCGGCAATTGTCTAGTACTACTTGAAAAGAACGTAAGGTTACTGTTTCACTGTCTGCTTCATCCATCCTCTCTGTCCCTCCTTCCCTTCTCATGTTCACTTTTTTCTTCCATCTCTGATTTCTCTCCAAAAAATATATATTCTTTGGTAACTCAATAAATTCTTACCAAATAACTGCTTAACAATAAGATGGCAGGTAAATCATGGCAAATGCATACACAATCTTGCAAAGAATTTAGCACACCAATATATTAGTGGACGTGCAATCACACGCAATCTAATAGAATGTTTATACTCCTGTTGCAATGCACGGGCAGTTATCTAGTACCAATACAAAAGGACCCAAAGGGTGGACCATCAAACCGCTTCAATCCAACGACCTAGACTACTCCAATGGTGAGTGCTTAATATGTTTAGCAAGCAATTAATATCATACCAAATACCAATGTCAACGAAAATCACATAATTAACACCCAAATAATATCTTACATAATATCGATGTGTAGTATACTGCCTAATATCAGTTATCCTACCTAATATCTATGTTCAATTAAAGTAGTTTCTAATATCAACGTGCATTGCCCGTACACATTACTAGTATATACAAAGGACTGATATAGGATTAGGTGGCGATTAGGTGGTGGCTGCAGCCATAGAAGGAAGACTGATGACAGCAAGCATGTAGCAATAGTCAGGATCATACGATCCATACTAAATTTGTAGTCCTTAGTGAAGTTAATGCCTATACATCTATCGTACTCATAAGGAACTGCCCATTTTCACATAAATACATGCATGTAAAGAATTAGTTTAATTGGAGCTTTCTCTCATGTATATAGAGTATTAGGGCATATCCCAGGCATGTACCCATTTTAGGTCTATTTGTCATGACTGTCATGTCCAGAGAATTTTAGCCGGCCAACACGAGCGCCAGCTTTGGTATTCCAAAATCCCCGACTCTAGCCCCAATCAAGAGGTGGCGTAGGGGAGTCAAGACGTGCGCCACGTCTGACCAACAGTCCTTCCTTGCACCCTTTTTAACACCCTCCTGGCTCACTCTTTACATCACTCCAACCCAAACCCTTAGTCGCTACCCCATCGCGATGGGCAAGAAGATGCCGTAGAGAAGCGCGGGCGTTGCAGGGCACTGTGGCTGCTCATCGGCTACGGTACGACGAGCCACCGCAGCGACGGATCTGGTAGGAATTTAGGCTGCCATTCGCGCTGCCAAGGTGACACCCAACCACCGTAGACTGGTCTGTTCGCGCCACCACACCGCCACGTGTCGCCTGGGCCATCAACCTCCATCGCGTAGGCATGTGTCAAGCAGGAGCCCTGTTACGAATACTGGTCCAATTTCGAGTGGGAGGCGGAGTCCCCGCGTTTGCAACCACCAGATATCAAGTCCGACTGACATATCTGGGAGGGGCTAAGAAACTCTTTGATTGACTAAGAGCCCCCACAGGTGTAAGCCAGTTGTCATGGCGACCATCTTTAGTGCCATCCATCCCACGGCACCGCATCCCCACCAACAGGGCCGGCCCTAGCATCTTAGAGGCCCTTGTGCGAACTTCTGAACTCCACCGGCCATGGGCCCTCGCCTTGGCACGGCTCTGACTGCCACGACTATCACCAATAATGTTGTGGCAGGTGTGTAGTGGTCGCGACCCGTCGGAAGAACCGACAACGAGTTTCATCCAACGAGAAAAATAATTGGTTGCATGGTGCCTAATTAGTGGAGTATTGCATGCTTTTTTTAGCTTGAATCGGAGTATTGCATGATGCATGGGGCCTAATTAAAGGAGTGTTGCATGCTTTTTAATTTGTTGGGAAGGAGTATTGCATGCTGTGACTCATACATGCCAAACTAAATGGGATTTTTGGCTGCATGGAATGGATACACATCTCACGCTGCATAGATCCGGCATTAATTGAGATCGATAATCAAGGATATTA